AGGAGTCAGGGTGGAGGTGGCAGGAGTCAGGGTGGAGTCAGGGTGGAGGTGGCAGGAGTCCGGGTGGAGGTGCGTACCAGAGGAGTTGGACTTACAGAACGTGCACTCAGCTTGTTCCTTTAATGGTGTAAAAAGCGCTGCAGCAACAAAAACATTTAAATCCAGAAACACTTGCAGATCCGATCAGCTGTTCATAGCTATCACATGTCTGCTATTACCTGCCAAGACAGGAAGTGATGTCATTTTCCATGTAGTTTTTTCCCTACAGGGCCTTTCAAAGGTCTCCTGCTGTTTACTGGAGTCGTGTCTGACTTTGTGCCTTTCTGTGTAGTTTCTGGGAGACTCAGAACTCAAACTGCACTGCTGGAAATCGTTTATTTTGATGCTGTTTTTTGTGCAAATCGTGCACAATAATATTTATTTTGTTTTTCCTGTAAATTTCCTGTGCTTGCAAACTATTTTGTGCAACTTTTTTGCCTTTACAGTTTTGAGGGACAACATCTGAAACTTCACAAGTAAAAAAACTAAAAGTATTTTGTAGTTTATTGCACTTTTGTGCAATTTATGTAATTACTATGGACTTAATGCATGCATGTTATTAAAATTTGGGATATAGCTGTTGTATTGACGTATAACAACTTGACATGCTCCCAAAGATGGCACTACAGCAGGTAAAAGTAAAAGAGATCAGCTCTGCAGACTTGGTTCTGTGGTGGGCTTTAAAGGGTTAAAACAGCTCCCAGAAGATGTTCAGGCTAATATCTGCCCGAGCAGGCCGAGCCGCAGTGAATGACTGTCGGAGGTGCAGAGTGCAGTCCAGCTGTACAGCGACTGAAACGTGTTTCATTGTGATGTGGAGCGGTCTAATTCCTGCAGTAATGTGTTCCCCATGTTCAGGTGGGAGCGAATGATCTGATGGGTCTGCTGACATTGTGATAACGTGAGCCTAACGTTAGCTGGATTGATGTTAGCCTATAACCAGCTGTTGTTGTTGCCAGCTGTCCGGACATGTGACATGTGAGCGTCACATGTGACAATATCGGGAGTAAATGAGGAGGAAGAGGATGCTCAGTGGCGTCTCCTTCATATCTTTAATACCAGAGTTTAGATACGCCTCCAGCTTCTCCTTCCACATGTGTGTCTCCAGCCACACAATCAGTCAGAAGGCAGAGTCCAGTCACTGCATTCAAATATGGCGGGGAACATGGCGGCTTCCACAAACAACAAACCTGCTCTGGAGGTTTTATTACATTAATTATAAGTTTATGAGGATGCGTCAGTTTTGTTGGTGCAACTACACACCACTCTTTGTGTACTGACTTTAGGGAACATTATGCTCACCCCATTGGTGTTGGATTACAGAAATCAAGAGGTGCACAAACAGGTTCGTGAGGGCAGAGCACGTGGCGTTGGTCCAGATGTCCACACTGCATCACGTGGAAATGTGAACGCCCGCTCCGATGTCTGACCCATCCGACCTGATCCCGGGAGGCTCAAACATTATTCTGTGCTTGTTTCAATAAAAAAGTGCAGATCTGAGCTGCTGTGATGTAAATGTTACATCTGCAGTTTCTCCACGTTTGATCAGTCTAGGTGCACGGCGCCCACGCTCAGCGCCGCCAGTGTAGGAAGCTTTATTTAAACTAGATATGGGTTCATAAAGCAGATAATGCATACGTGCTGAAAACACGGGCTCTCTCGCTTTCTGATGATGTTTCTGTTTCCACGGAGGCTGTAAACACGATCGCCGGGGCGCGATAGCGTCGCTCTGAGTTTGAGCCTTAAACGACAGTCGGAGGCGCGACTGCGCGACTGCGCGGCAGCGCTTTGAATAAAAGCTTGTGTTTTGTGCAGCGAATGTGAGCCTGAGGAGGAGTTAATGATGAAGGCTGGAGGCTTTTGTCAGGAGTTTGATCCCCTTTGCTGACATTAAGGCTTCATTATCTTCCTGTAAATCCTCCGATGTGAGTGAAGAGTCCTCACAGCGGCGCCGTCTGAGCCAATTACGGCAGGCTGCTTTTAAACGTACGCTAACGAGGCGACACTTTGACTGGAGGATGAATCGGTGTCACGCCGACTAATCTGAAACTTCACGGAGGAGTGCAGGTGTTTGAAAGTTGGAGAAGTGCTGCAGCGCGAGGTGAGGAACACCTCCTGCAGGCAGACTTTGCTCGCCATTAAATCAATAACCGCGCTCGGCGCTAAAGTCAATTAAGCTCACATGAAACAAGCCCGTATTAAGGGCAGCGTTGTGAAGCAAATGGGATTATTATGTGTAAACAGAAGGCCGCGTGCTAATTACTCACTCGATTTTGCGAGGCAGATGTCTCAACACGGGCTGCGAATTTTGAGGAAATTCAATCTTCCCTCCAGATGAAACGAGCGAGGCCGAGAGCCCCAAACGCAAATTGATCCCAGAGCGAGTTTAAACACCTCGTAGATCATTTAGTAAATCTCCACATTATTACATCATGAAATTAACACCGAGCGCCCGAAAACTCAAAACTTTCTCATCCGTCTCGTATCGATCGGCTCCGAGAACGAAGAGGAAGGAAGCTGATGTAAGAGGCGACCCACGTCGACAAAGTGGCCGCCAAACACAGGAAGCTAGTTTTCGTGGGGTTTGAGAGCTTCACACGTCCTTCCAGGAAACAGGTCGTTAATACTGAGGTAAAAGTGGAGCAGGTGGACAGAAAACACCCGTCTGCCGCTGAGTCTGCAGGTCCAGAATTTTAACGAAACCTGCGACGAGATTTATCCTTGAAGTTGTCTCCAAACGTGAAACAGAGGCTGAGACAAAACCAGGTCGACGGTGAGGGATGATTGGTCGCGACTCAGGAAACAATCTGAAGTTTTTATAGCACAAATAAGCTCCGCCTCCCCTGCAGCACTGAGTGTGTGCGAATGCGGTCAAAGCCCTTTCCCCGCTGTGCGAGAGCCTCACTCCAGAGTGCTCGTGTCTAACCTTATGCACAAGATGCCCTTTGACCCTGCTGTATGAGACGTGTGATTTTACACTGTGTGAAAATCCTTGAACGCGCACAGACGTCAGTGGATCCTGGAAGCTGACAGCTGTTTGTAGCCTGTTAGCCTGAGTCAGTGTCTGACGGCTGCCTCCAGATTCAGGTAAACAGTCATCAAGTTGCAGTGATGGTAATATTATCCACAGCGTGTACAGTGTTCCACATCTCAGCGTTCTGCACTGGCCTGCTGGAGGTTTGCAGCTCGCACGCATTAGAAGAGCCCATCCCTCCTCTGCTCCGGCACAGAGGAGCAGATCCCAGTCCTCTTGGTGGGCCCTGTTCAGCTCTCCTACAGTAACTGGCCGTCTCCTGGAGTCTCCTCCAGGCTCTGGAGACGGTCCTGGGAGACACAGCAAACCTCGATGTGCCACCCTGGAGGAGTTGGACAACCTGTGGAAACTCTGGAAGGTCCAGGTATTACCTCATGCTCCTTAACTGACCGGATCAATATCCCAGGAGTTTAACGGGCTCGATGCTGCACTCGGATTTAAACACATTCCTCTAACTTTGGCTTTGGCTCTTTGTTAACATCCACTGCTAACTCGAACCACATTATCCGTGCTGTGAGCACCAGCACATCTGGTGGGTCAAGTATGAGATCAGTAGCAGCACAAAGCACAGCAGAGCTCACGATGGTTTCTTCCAGACTTTTCTTAACTTTATTTAAC